CTGTGTACCCAGAAAGGCAGACACGACCAAGGCTAGACTTCATCCTGCTCTGCATGAGGGCCTCAGCCCAGGGAGTTTTCTAGCACACTCAGCGTTGGTGCCCTGCTAGGGAGAGGCAGCTGTGGTCACTAGAGAGCCTCTTTCCATGTTTCCCCAATGTTGAGAAGAAGAGATGTGGCTGTTGCTGTTTCTCTCTCTAAACTCAGAAAATCGATCCCATCTAAATTTCCACCCCCACCCCCACCCATGTGGTTTTGGGGAGAAGAAATTAAGACATGAAGCTGATAGAGAAAGTAGAGGAAGAGTTCTCTAGGCAAACGCTGCCCATGTAGATGTGGGAATCTGGATAACAGCAAAGAGAGCACGCAAGAGTGAGAGAGAGATGGCTACTTCAGCTCCGTGGAAAAAATAAGAGGTAGTGTTAAAGCTTCGAAAGGAATTTTTTCATTTGAGAGAGATTATGGATAATGAAATGCAAACACTGTAGTTAATATGTCTCTTAGCTGGTTCACCGTGGCTTCTGGAAAAAGTGCAATAAGATGTAGGAGAAGCAGCTTGCAAGTTATCCTGCTTCACTGTCCTTAGGGTGAGGTCTAGTTCTGCACCCCAGATTCCTTCACCAAACAAACACGAGATTCAAGACTGGAAGCAAAGCCCCTATCTATTCCAAAGCCACAAACTTCCTGAGCCTCTGAGGAGTCCTTCACAAATGAACCTGACAACACTGAAATTTCTAAGGAGATTTACTCCAGCTGCTGCAAATCCCTAATAATAAAAAATTTCCCCAAATGAGCCCGTCACACAGGAGGTAAATGAGACATTCTGTATGAAGTCAGCGTGTTGCTTAGCGTGTGCCCTTTATATCAAAAGCTCATCCAGAAGGCCACATGGCTAAGTGGGACTTGTCCACAGGATTCAGTCAGGGCCCTGGAGGGAGAGGGAGTTAGGCTGCCAAATTGTAACTCTGGGTTGCTTCTCCTTCAAGCAAGCTTTATAGAAAAATTCAGTTTTCCTGAGAAATTGAAGGAAGGGCTGATAGTTTATTTCACACAAAGATTCACCAGAGGGGTCCTTTAACTAACAAGCTCAGACAAAGAATTTGTTACTCAATTGGCTTATAGGAACCTTTTTTCAAATTGCGTTGACTTCACCATAGGTGTATGTAGATAAACTAAAGATATATTTGTTACTGGCCTTTTACAAAAAAGGATTGGGATTTGTCTAGCCATTGAGTAAAGCTTGCAGTGATGGTATTTGTTGGTAGCCCCACCTCCTGGCTGATTGTGTTAATCCTCTAAGTGTCTTTAGGGGTGATTAGGCGACCTAACAAAGCCCACCTACTTCTGAGGAGTAGCCAGTGGGGTGGTGGGGCCTCTTTGTCCTTTGTAGAGAAATTGGCAACACAAAGCCAGGTTTCTGGTTTTTTGCCTTATTCTGTTTTCTTCTTTCTTTTTTTTTGGGGGGGGGGTTCTTTTTGAGACATGGTCTCCCTGTAGCCCCAGCTGTCCTGGAACTCACTATGTAGACCAGGCTGGCCTTGAACTCACAGAGATCCTCCTGCCTCTGCCTCCCAAGTGCTGGGACTACAGGCATGCGCCACCACGCCCAGCTATTCTGTTTTTTTTTAACTATCTATTGAGTGCAGACCATGTCCCCATTACTAGTTTAGGTATTCCGACATGCTCTGTCTCATTTGGTCCTTGCTGTACTCCCTCTTGTTCTGTGAGATGGATGACGACGATGATGAAGTACACACCTCTTCGAATCTGCTAGATCTTTGTTTGGTCTTTTGTTTTGTTTTTTTGTTTGTTTGTTTGTTTTGAGATAGAGTCTTATTGTGTAGCCCAGACTGGCCTGGAACTCAGGATCCTCTTGCTTCATGTCCACAGACTGGGATTATTGGCCCACACCACCATGTCCAGCTCTGTTATATCTTAAGAGCTTAGTTTTCTCAACTTCCCTACTTTGAAAAAACTTAATGTATACAGCTTTATTTTTATACTATTTGGCTTATTAAAGAAATGTGAGCTTATAATTACCAAATTTGGATAACAGAACAAAGAAGGTAAAATGATCCTGCCACTGATGTATCTCTGCTAATATTTTAGTATGTAGTTTTTCAAATGATTTCTGTATGCTTCTGCAAGGAAATACATGTATGCATTTTTAAACATACTTTAAAAAAAACTGCTCCTTTTACATTAATAGTAAGTCATGAACATTTTCCATAAAAACAAAAAATCTAGACCCGTAGCACTGTTCTCTGCAGCAGCTGAATATTTCATTTTATAAATACACCAGAATTGATTTACTTGCCCTCTGTGGTTGGTTTTGTCAACATGATGCTATTTATAAACAAAGTATCTTCTCACTTTTCATATGCTTTTTTAAAAACATGTACAAAGGTGCACATACATCTTTATGCCACTGTCTGATGTTTTCTTAGGAAAAAAAAAAAATCTAGCAGGACTTCTGGCCTGAAGGCCATGTACACATTAACTTTTGTCACATTTTGCCAAAAAATGTCTTCCAAAAAGTTTGAACAGCTTTATCACCCCACTTTCACTTTTCACCCCTATTTCCTGGGTCACTTTATCTCCAAGCAAGTATCTTCTATGTACTCAACCTCCTGGCCTCCAAAATGGGTGTGAGAATTTGACGAAAACAGTTAAGCTTTCTAAAGTACAAACTGAGCGGCATACAGTATAGTAACTGTAGATTAGGTTCTGTTATGTAAACTTTACAACCCAAGGATAAGAATCCTAATAACTCTCAGACTGTTATAGTCCCCTGTTTTTTAAATCTTTGTGTGCATGGATATCTGCGTACACGCACACATGCATGTTTGTGTATGGGAATGTCAGTGTCTGTGTACCAGTGAGCACATGTGAGGTCAGAGGACAACCTTGTGTGTTATTTGTCACCTCCCACCTTGTTTGAGACAGGGTCTAGCTTGTCTGTGAGCGTCCAGGAATTCTCCTGTCTCTGCATCCCATCTCCTAATAGAAGCATTGGGATTAGAGATGTACACTACTGTGCATACCTTTATGTGGGTTATGGGTGATCTAAGTCAGATCCTCACACTTGCACAAGTGCTTTACCCACTGAGGCAACTCTCCAGCTCTGTTCTCTCCATGTTTGAGGCTCAGAAAGGTTCAAAGCTTGATTTTCTCAGCTCTTCTACTTTGAGAAAAATTTAGTGGAAATTGTTTTATTTTACAAAAATTTGGCTTATCAAAGACCTATAATTCAGAATTCTATCCATTAAAAAGAAAGAATCCAAACCCAGTTATTTCCATCTCAAACCTGAGGCCTTTATTCCCTCCTCCAGGTGGGTCAAGGGATGTATGATGGATGAATAAGGATGTCAGAGCTGCTGACCTGTGTGCACACTGCTGGGGAATCACCATTGCTCAGCTGACTGTACCTGCTGGGCAGTAATGGGAACAACAAGCAGGGGTTTTCCAAAAGGGCCAGGGAGTTCCCCTTGAGAGCAGACTAAATGTCTTTTCATTTTTGCTCTGAAAGTAAAATCCTGTTTCCAAAGTCAGTACCATCTCCCACACTGAAAATCCCAGATCTGAGCAGATCCCCCAACCACCCTAGGGCCTTGTTAATCTGCCCACCTCCTCAGAGCTCCTAAAGAAGCCTCTCTCTCACCATCGCCACCTCTCCAAAGGAACCCAGTATCAGTCATTCTTTTGACTGCAGGAGTCCAGCCCTCTGGGGCCTCAGAATGAACTGCTCCTGTAGGGCACTCCTTATTCATCCTTTACAGGCCTGTTTATTCAGAAGTGGCTGAGCAGTCTGAAATATGGCTCCTGGGGGCTGAAGTAAAGCCTCAGGCCTCTCTAACTTACACAAGTCACATCTGCAGGCAGTCAGCTCCCACAGACCTGTGTGTGACAAGAGCTGGAGGCCACATCCCAGGGAGGGCCACATTGCCAACCCTTTTCCCTACCCACAAGAAAGGAATTTCTTACATGTTGTTTGTACAGGTTGATGCAAAATAAATAGAGGGAGAGGAGAAAGAGGAAAACGGATGGTTTTTGAGGAGTGGAGGAAGTTCCCACGTTAGTTGTGTGATCTAACTTGATGCTAAGAAAGGAGTGTAGACAGGCACAGTGAGGACTGCTGGAGCACACACTTCAGCTGAAAACTTGTGTCTATCAAGATAAAGGGGGACTTTTTATGTGTATCAGCCCATGAACCTGGCCAAGGAAGTCTGTGAGACATCTCTGCCTCATACCAGGCAAGTCTAACTCTGTTTGAAAGGAACACAGGCCTCACTCAGCCTGGGGAGACCAGCCAGCTCTACCTCTTAAGAAGCTACTAATTGTGGGTACATAGACACAGTCCCCAAGGAATCACCAGGCTTTTGGAAAAGAGTTTTTATTGCCTTCTCTGATTTAATGCTGATTCCTTTTGAAAACATGTTGACTAGACAGTGCTGATAGCAATCTTGTAGACTCATCAGAGGGAAAAAGGGGCCCACAGATAGGGAGACTTAAAAATAAGAGGGGATGGCCCAGGAGAAAACTGACACAGGGTAGAGGACAGGAGAATAAACACCTCTGAAGCATTCCCAGGGTGCCAGCCCCTGACATGTATTTTGTCTCCATCTCAACCTTCTGGAGCAGCTATTTTTCTCCTTATGTTATATATGAAGACATTGATGCTCAAAGGGTTTAAGTACTTGCAATGACCCAGTTAAGTAGGAGAGACTAAGATTTAGAGAGGTTATGATAGAAATAAGAAGGGTGTTACTGCTACATAAAGAAAACAATGTTTGTTTTGAGATCTTTGATAGAGTGATGCAATTGCTCCTATATGAACAAGAGATAAGGCCTCCCACCCATGTACTCATTCACTGTGACTTTAACAAAGCGACTTCCTGTGTCTACCCAAGCAAGCACAGTGTGCTTTGTTGAAGGACAATGGTCCTCCCAACCTCTCAGACTGATCTCTTCTCATCTGTCTTTTTTGCCATCCCCACCTAGGTATGACTTCATTGAGATTCGAGATGGGGACAGTGAGTCAGCTGACCTCCTAGGCAAGCACTGTGGGAACATCGCCCCACCTACCATCATCTCCTCAGGCTCCATGTTATACATCAAGTTCACATCAGACTACGCCCGGCAGGGGGCAGGCTTCTCTCTGCGCTACGAGATCTTCAAGACAGGTTCGTGGGGTCCTGGGGTGGAGGCCAGAGAAGGGCATCTTAGAGACGGTGGGATACACAGGGGAAGCCACAGTTGGTGAATGGAGTCAGGTAATAAGGGCTTCAGTCAGCTGGCTTGATCATAGTGGTACAGGAAGAAAAGCCCAAGGTGAACCCGGAGATGTTGGTATGAAAAGCCAGGTCGGGCTGATGACATTCAACTTGAGGGGGAAGACCAAGCACCATCACAGTTGGGGGAGGGGGGGCAAATATATACAAGAATATCTCTTCAAAGAATTGGATTTTTCTTTCAATCAAGCTACTCTTTGTGGATGAACTTGATTGAACTTCATTGCAATTACTTCATGGTTTAATGTTGTCTTTATTTGGAATTACATGGGGCTGGAAGACATAATCTTTTCATTGTTTAGCGTTTCTAAAGATCTCTCCATGACCCCCGAATGGGGTCAGCCATTACTTTTAAATTGAATTTTGACTCCCAGAAATTCCCCTTGGCAATCCATTTTAATACCTCTACTGAACCCCTATTTCCCAGATGCCAATGAAGCAGATGCGCTGAAAAGGAATCAGAATATACTGGAAAAAGGGGCAGAGAACATAGCACTCCTTTGAGTTGCCTGCTTGATCCCATCAGGGCTCCCACAGATCCCCCTGGGCCTTGAAAATACGCGTAGTGCTCACTCCCACGGCTGGGTAGAGCCAGTGCTTATCCACAGATGGCTGTTTCAGCATCTACACTTCTGCTCTCCTAGTTGTGTGTCCCTCTCTTTCATCAATGGCTCTCACTGTGACTGAGGAAGAAATATCCTCCAAGGCTCCCTTGCCCCACCTACTCCTCACCTCAGAAGCTCCACTCTGTCTTTGAGCATCTCCTTTCTCCAAAAAGTCAAGTTTTACAACTCAATTTCAAGTAGAAGTTGTCAGCCTTGTCATCGAGAGGCCCAAGTCTGGCGCCTGTTGAGTTCAGTGTGAGGGGAACTATTCAGATATATTTTCTTTTTTCATTAAACAATTCTTGAAAGGAAGTGGTAGCTGCTGAAAGCACTTTTTATATCCACTCTGTCTAAATATTTGTCCAACTTGCCTGCCTGAAAAGGTGGAATCAAATGAGGGGGTGGGTCAGCAGTACTGGGCTGTGCCAGAGCAGGCTGTCACAGGGCACAGGCTCAGGATGGCCTATCTGCCGAGAGTCATGTTTCTGGCCATAATAAGGTCACAGGAACTGCTCTGTGTGTCCTGGGCTTAGAGTTGGTATAGACCCCTGCATTGCTGGGTCAACAGCTCTTTGAGTCCTGTGCAAGATTCAGATTAAGGCACCAAAGCTGATGAGCATCCCCAACTAAGGGTGTCATAGAAGAAGGAATGAGACAGGTGTTTTTGCCCTCTGGGGAGGGAGTCAGATGCACAAACCTTCATTACACAGATGCACAAGAAACATTGTTGATGACACTGAAAGGAAAAATGTGCTATGAGTAAGTTTTAAGTGAAGGCATAGATCACTTGCTAGTTTTAAAAATGAGAGAACAACCGAGGGCCTCTTTGGAGTCTATCAGAAAACAGTCCCAGTGCTGAAGCTGTCAATCAGCTCCACTGCCTTAACCTCCCAAGGAAAACAGCTCAAGCAAGACCTTCCAGAGAGCTGGCCAAGGGAAGTGAGAACAAGGATGAGCAGGGCCATTAAAGCACATCTCTAGTCTCATGACTCCCATCTCAGTGCTTGATGCCACATTCTCCAGAAAGCCACAGAAAAAGGGAATGTTAATTCCATCCATCATGCAAATTCGAAAGGAGTATATTAAAAGATAAAACACACAAGAGGGTATCATAATTCAACCCTGCTGTTTTGATGACACGCTGAAGCAGAATTTTGAATGAGGCAGCCAGTCTTTAAAGAGCTTAAAACAATGGTTCCAGCCAAGAAAAGTAGGTGGCTTGGGTCTGGAGCAACACAGCAGCCTGCTTTAAGGACTGGGATTGACTCTGGAAGAGATTGTTACAGTGCCTTGCCAACAGCCACATGACTAGGAAGGTACAAAAGATGAGAGCGAGCCCAGGAGCCTCCTCAGGCCACTCATACCTGCCATCTCACCTATCTTGGCATAAAAGTCAACCCTATAACATAAAACATAGGAATGTACAAAAGAGCAAAAGTCGAAACGGAGAAGTTTAGGAAGGTGCCTTCCAGGTGCCCTGTCTTAGGCCCCCATTTCCACAGTTGCAGTCCTGGGAGAAAATACACAGTTTACGTCATCCATAGAACATGAAAGAAATGGGTGGACATGCTGAAGAAATCCAAACAAACACAGCTATGTTTGCCAGTCGGATTCATAAAAAGAAAGAGGGAAAAACTGTAAACATAGATATGCAAACAGCCATGCAGAAGGCTCTGGGAGCTTGGCTTTCTCCAGGCTCTGCTGTGGAGTTATACTGAGAGACATAAATCCGTGGTGCCTGGACAGATGGGGCATGTAGCTGGAGTGGAAGCATCGTGGCTGTCCTAAATGAATTATAAAATATTGTATATATCACTGGATCATTCACCTGGAAAAGAATAGGACAGAAGAAGTCACAAATTTAAAATGTCTGAAATCACTAAATACTAAGCAGAATAGGGAAATTTTAAAAAGAATTTGAAAAGCAGTATGAGAAACAATCAGTAGATTTTTTTTTTT